AGTAGTATTCCTTGGTGTACGTATTCACACAACATTTTTAAATCCACTCATCATTTTATGGGCACTTAGGTCGATTTCATATATTTGCTGTTGTGAATGGTGCTGCCATAAACATGACTCCAGGTATTGACATAATGATTTATTTTCCTTTAGGTATATGCCCAGTAGCGGGAAAGCTGGTCAAATGGTGGTTCTATTTTTAGTTCTTTGAGAAATCTCCATAGTCTTTGTTCATTTAAAGCCAAGTTGTTGGTCTGACTAGTGGCCTTAAGCACTGCACCTTGCATAGTTTCTCCAGAGCATTGCAAGGGATCAGTCTTGGACAAAGTAACCCCTACTTCTCAGAGAGATATGATCACATTTATGTTTCAAAAGAGCATTCTGATTATATTGTGGAGAATTGAATGGGAGGGGCATAAGCAGAAGAGGGAGAACAGTTGGGTAGGTATTCCCCTAATCAAGTACAAAAGAGCAGTATTACCCATTAGTTAAGAGTATGGATTCTGACTGCCTATATTTGAATACAACATTTATCACTTACCAGCTGCGTGACTTGTGTAAGTTACTTAATCGATCTATGCATCAATTTTCCTATCAGTAATTGGGAAACAATAATAGTTCCTACCTCAAGGGCTATCATAAGAAAGAAATGAGTTAATGTACCATAGAACATGCCGAAGTACAAGGCAGACGAAATGCTAGGTATATGGTATTAGTGAACTAGGAAGGTTGGAATGGGTAGAAAAATGAGTGGACCACATTTGAATATATTATAATGAGCATGACTCGGTGATGGATTGACTTTGGGGGAAGGCGTGAGAGATGGTAGTGTCATATGTCATTCACTGGAATGGAAATACCACAGGACAAGGGATTGTGGGAGTGATGGGGACTTTCAAATACAATATTATTATTCTGTTAAAAATGATAACCCTTAGCCAAAATATTTTGGTAATATTCTTTGTTTTATATGTAGTGGAACATATGGGGTAAGTTAGGTCACTCCATGAGAAAGATTAAGATCACGAGTTCTTTATTTAATTGCTACCTGACTGAGTGACACAAGGTGAGAACTGTCCCTTTCCAGAGACATGTCTCCACATGTATGATGTGAGTCTGGCATCTGTCTTCTCTTAAAGAAGTCTTGGTCAGCATTTGTGCTCTTTGGAAGCACACTGGCCTAATATAAAAGCATCCTAAGTACAATAAACACTTTTAAAGGAACCAGATTACGTAGGGGATGAGCTATTATGACTGTATATAAATCTCAGGTGACTGCAGTTTGTTCTTACAACTAATGATTTTTACTTTCACATTTTTATGTCTTTCCTAAAATATGTTTATACTTACGTAGCTCGTTAAACAATAATGTATGTATTATCTTGTAGCCATAATTATTACTTTTTATGCTGTATAATTCTTTGAATTCCTCCAATAGAGTGCTAAGTAACTTAGTGCTCATAAATTTTGATGGATCATTAAAATAAACTCGATATTTCTTTCAAAATGTTAATGATTTTGTATTTTACACAAAAGGACATTAAGTTTCAGGCAACTCCTTATGATTGAATGCCAATTTCAATGATTTATCTTTTCTATTTTCCCCATTCTTCTAGTCTGCTCCCAGTTTTCAAGAGGAGTCTATGCCATTTTTGGATTTTATGACAAGAAGTCTGTAAATACCATCACCTCATTTTGTGGAACGCTCCATGTCTCCTTCATCACTCCCAGCTTCCCGACAGATGGTACACATCCCTTTGTCATCCAGATGAGACCTGACCTCAAAGGCGCACTCCTTAGCTTGATTGAATACTATCAATGGGACAAGTTTGCCTACCTCTATGACAGTGACAGAGGTAAGTGACAGTATCTCATCTCTTTGTAATGAGGCAAATTTAACGCCTATACTTGACACTTACAGGTGATCTTGTAGAGCTATAAAGGTGTATTAAAGCTCAAGGACCACTTGGTTTAATTTTGCTGTGTGAATGAATAATGTGATTTGAAACCTGGGAAACAAATTTAGAGTAAAACAACAACAAAAGCTGTGGAGGTACAATTTACAGAGATAGACTGTATCGACTCAATGACCAAATATTCATTTGTTAAATAAAAAGCAGCTTCTGGTATAAGGAGCTAAGACACTATGACGACTATATTACTAGAACAAGGTGAATGAAATGGCTTTTATAGTGATATGTAGTTATTAAATACTGTTGCATGCAAAAGTTTTATCAAACTGGTAGCATTATTGTTACCCTTGCTCTCAAATAAGATCTCTGAATCTCAGAGATGTTAGATGATTTTCTCCTGATTAACTCATGTGTGATAATACACTTATGCTTTTTATGCAATTCCACATGATTGTTTAAGATGGGATTTTTTTATTACGATGCTAGTTTTGACTCATTATTCTAAAGTGCATGGGGGGAGATAAATTTCTTGTTTCCCATATCCCCTGTTAGGAAGTTAGTATTAGCAGACCCACTTGGTTGACATGTCATAGATTCCTGGATGTTTTTAACCATTCCTGGGTCCATGATTGGGTTTCAGTGGGTCTGTGTACCCACTAACTTGTATGAAACATGTGAGTGTATGTTCATATGTGTGTTTTTCTAGAGAGGTGTCTATAATCAAAACCAGAAGGCTTAAGGACCACTATTGTCAGAGTATCTCCTGAGTACCACAATGCGCTTCCTTCAGCAGCTTTCTTCTTGGAATATGTGAAGGTTTCAATGAAAACCAGAAGCCTCTTTGCACCAAGATAGGGCACCTTGTTAACCCACAAAGGCAGACAAGAAGAGAGCCAGACGTCCGTCAATTCTCCATTGATCAGTTTGTAGTCATTTGCTGCAGCAAGCCCGAGTCAGGAGTGCTCAAGCTAGGTGTCTGATTCTCTGCCTTGTCCTCCTAAGACCTGGAAATGAGAACACGCAGTGCAAAAGCCAGTCAGCACTATATAAGCTGAAAAAAGTGCTATGTTAAGAACTATTTCCCCCTGCTCTGAGAAGGGAGTACTTTGCTATTCCCATAGGGAATAAAAAACTAAAACAGAGAATCATTTAGAGTAGATACGTATTTCAATGTGCTGGATGATTCTGAAGCATACTTCTTATTAGTGTGATAAAAGGGCTTATAAAACCAAGCTTATTAAATTATTTTTAGTTTTTCCTTTTGTTCTTGCTAAGTCCTTTAAGTATTTGTTGCTGTTGTTAAAACTAGTCTGAAATCTGGGCATATTCTTAATACTTCTTTCACCCTTTCGTCCTGTTGATGTGATTTCTACCATCTCAGTATATTTCATCTCTAGACACTCTTTTCCATCGTCCTCACCTGAGGCCAAGCCACCGTCATGTGTTCAGTCCTTCATCTCTCCAGTTTCACACTTATCCTTTTTTAACCCATTTAGCACAAAATAGTCAGAATTATTACTTTTTTAAATGTCTTCTATGACTGCATCACTCCCTTGCTTAAAACACTTCAATGACTTCTCAGTATAATGAGGATAAAACTGAAAATCCTTAGCAGTCTTATAGTATCTGATTTCCACTCCCCTCTCCAGTGTATTCTGCTATCTTGCTCACTCAACTAGAGCCAAACCCATTTGACCTTCTTTCACTTTCTCAGATGCACCAAACTCTTTCACTTCAAAACTCTGCACATGTCTTTAATTTTAACCCCTCCTTGATGACTGGATTCATATATCATTTCCTCAGAGATACCTCTCATGCTGTTGTTCTTTTTTCAAAGCAATCTCTTCTTTCCCTTCATTGGATGTATCACAATTGATAATTAATAGTGGTGTTCATTCTGTCACTCAAGTACTGCCTGTTGAGCCCCTACTATATTCCAGGCACTGTATTAGTCACACTGGATAACCATTATGTTTTCTAATTTATTTTTTTAATTCTTCCTTCCTTTCATCCTTTCTTCCATCCTTCCTTCCATTCTTTCTTTCTTTCTTTCTTTCTTTCTTTCTTTCTTTCTTTTCTTTCTTTTCTTTATTTAAGGTCGGGCTATGAGTTCCAGGGAGGCAGTGCCCAGCCATTACTCAGTACACTGGGTGTACAGCTCTTAATTTTATACCCAGGACTTCAGATAAAGATAGAAACAGAATTGATGTTCAGTAGTGTTAATAAACAAATGAGTTAAACATCTGTGTGCAGTATTTTAAGTTTGAGATGATTTTAGAAGCTGAATTTTGCTTGCTAAATGGAAGGCTCAGAAGATGAATTCTCCTCACTGTTTGACAAGGTGGAAGATGAAATTTTTAGTTTAGGAACATATTTTACCCTCATCTTCATCCTCACTATTAGTCTCTCTAGTTGAAACTGAGCTTTTGAGAAAATTCAAATGGACAACAGCTAACATAAATAAAAAAGGAAAAACTCTAGTATTTGAAGAAAGAGTCAGAAAGACAAGGTCTGAGGAATTAGCAGGTGAAGATGGATGAACTTATATACTTGTGAAAAGAATCTGGAACATTTTTAAATGATTTTATTAATACTTTAAAAATATTAAATAAAATTGAAGTGATGAGATAATCTCCAATTATGAAATTATACAAATTGATTTGAGTTCAAGTGCATCTGTTGAGAGAAGAACATTAGAGTGATAATTAATTATAAATTAAAGCCTGAATGAAGTTATGGATACATTCTCAAGGTGTTACCAAGTAGCTGTTGATGTTTTAATGTGAAAAGTATTACACTGGCATTTCATCTGAAACTATTTTCAGAGATAAATGTGTAAGACTCTCAAAATGCTGGCAAAAGACTTGACCTGTGAGTAGTATTATAATTGCCTCACGAAAATGGAATTTTTGCTATCTGATTTTTTCTTATTAGCGACTTAATTTTTATGGCTTCGCCATCATATTTCATTTTATAATGTTTATTTATGCATTCTGCATGCGAATTGGTTTCTTTCCTTTGTTCATTAACCCATTTCTCTCATGCTTCTAGTAGGCACCTCCTTACTTTAGGATCACATGATTTGGAGAATGTACCTACGTTCTCTTCATCCATATTAACCATATTTTAGAAAATAGATTCTATAGTTTTATCTCTCTACTTATATATCTACATGCCTCAATTTCAAACTATATGATCTGTTCTTGATGTGGCATTCTTTCCACCTTTTGGTTTATATAGTTTTATTCAGGTTCTAATAATCTTCACTTTTCTGAGCGTCTAGGTCAGGTAAACATATTGTTAAATTTTAATGTCTAAATATGTCAGTGAATGTTCTTTTGAATAGCATAGAGTCTATGCATGAAAATGATCCCTCAACGTTCTGTCCTGATTATGAACTAGATGAAAAAGGTTTAAAATTGTTCTATGTTGATTCATTGCACTACCCTTAACTGAGACTGAACTGAAACCATTCCTGCTTCCTGACTATCCATCTAAATGCTGAGCAACAAGTAAAGAGACTACTTGCCAATTCTAAACCGTGAAGGACATGGATGCATGTTTGGAAAGATCTCTGTGTAGAAACATCTTTGACTAATCTAAGTTTACTGGTGAAAGGAGAACTAAAACTGTGCATCTGGTGTCCGATGACTTTTTAGTTGATTGGTGTCTTCTCTTTACCCAGGCCATGTGGCAGCTGCCTGGCACTCCTTGATGACCCAACGCCCTTCCTAAAAGCCGTGTGTCATTACTCTATAGAGAGTAGGTAGATAGAACTACAATATATTTTTAACTCTAGAGTAATGAGGTTACTTATGTCAATGCATTAAATATTATAGTTTTATCTTTGGATACATATGTAGTAAATATGAATCAGTACTTAATCAAAATTTGAGTTTTATTTTTTGGTTCAATGTCAACGAGGCAAGGTAATAGAATTCTATATATAGCAGGTAAAAACAGAACTAATGCTTTATGTCTTTATGTCTTGGTTTTAATTTGGGAAGTATTATTTACTCCCTGAAGGGAAGGCACTTTGACTCCACTTCCAAGAAACATCATACAAAGAAAAAAATGCTTCCAAATTATAATTTCGTGTTGATATTCCTGAGAAAG